CCCGTGGTGGGCAGAGCACAGATAGTTCATTGTGTAGCTTTGTGCTTAAATTCAAAACAAGAATAAATCGGAACCAACTCCAAAGTGACTGCAGAAAAAAATATATTGTGTCGGTTTTTTTTTTGTATTTTCTCTAGAAGGAGAGAGTATAAAGGAATGAGTATTGGCACACAAATTACTTTAAACTAGCAAAATATTTTTTATATTTGTAACACACACACTTAATTATTAGGTTGGACTACCATTTGGTGCGATAATAGCCTGAATTACGAATCTGATAAACCTCGTGTATCGACCTGGTCCTTTTATTGAAGAGTATGTATGATTCACAGATGTCTCAAATATTTTTGTGTGCTGGGCGTAGCCTAGTGATTAGCGTGCCGGACTGTGAATTCAAGTGTCCATTCTTCCTGCCCCGTTGCCGTAAAATCGTACTCTGCATTTTGTGGCCATGAATGCGTTATAAGAATGACGATCAAATCCCACTCTTCGGTATTACAAGAGTAGTCTGAGAGTTAGCAGCGAGTGGTATTGGCTTCCCTCTATCAGTTCAAAATTAGGGACGGCTAGCTCTGGTTGTTGGCTGTTATATAACAATAGTTTGTACGGTATTCTTTCGCGTGGTATAGTTCGAAGTAGTTGAATCCTGACTACTTTTCAAGACATCGGTCGACTGAAGTACAGTCTGATACCTACCGCACTTTACAAGCCTGTCCAGTCATATGTTCCTTCAATCCATCACGAGCGGTTTGCAGCCACTGTTTTCCTAATATCAGATTTCTGTTACCATTTGTCATGGATGATGGGCTCTATTACAAATGATTTTACAGCCTGTCGAATAAATGGTATTTGATAATAGCGACTTTGTTCTGGACGCCAACTATGGTGTTCTGTTGAAAGTTGGAGAGATCCATGCACGTTATTCATCATATGACTGCGACTCTGCATATGTATATAGTTCCCAAGGAATCACCTATAATATCACAGGATCTATATAGTATTTTGTGTGTTTGAGTAGCAAAAACAGACCGCGGGTTATAATTGTCAAAACTGTTTTATGACGTCTTGGGATAAGACACATTTGTTCAGTTGATGAGTTACACAAAAATTATACATGTAAATAGATGAAATGTCGTACACGTTTGTGTGAGGTTACAGCAAAGTTGTTAGACAGCGTTATAGAAATATACAAGTGGCAGAAGCAAAGTATCGTGGATATATTGTAACGCCATCTACCAAAAAATTATAATATTTTCGTTAATTATACATTTAACACTCGAAATAAACCTTATAACACCAAAACGTGGTTTTAATTAATATATATACATTAAATAAAAACAATATTTTGGTGTTATAAGGTAGTTTATTTCTAGTATTAATATGTCTTACATACACCAATATGCACAACAGAAATTATATAATGATACATTTAAACAAAAGATTACCATCAAATCATCAAAATATTATATTCCATGAAAGAATGAGAAATATAAGTTAAAGCTTGTGCTAATAGTTTTTGATAATTATAAATATAATGTTCATACTTGCTGGTTTGCTATACTTTTAGTTCTATGATCATCCACTGTAAAAAACTCAAGGTAACAGTTTTCCACTTTCAATAGATGGCGGTAAAAGCTTGGACACCCGATTTCGTTGGAGGAAGGGGTGGTGTATTTGCAACGTTTTATTTGATGTCACAGAAAGTAGAATTCGTATCATCATTCTATATAACAATACCAGTTTTTTGTGATTAAATTCCTTTCTCTTACTCGCATAAATATCACTATTTTATATGTTCAGTCATTGTCAACACGATTCTCTGCAGTAGTGAAACAAGAAAAATCAATATATTTCCTGTGACAATTGGCTTTTAGTACATAACCTGTTTTTGTGAACAGCCTGAATATTAATAAGATTAACTAGCGCTTAACATCCAGAGTTTTTAACAACTTCAGCTTTCTGCTGATATTCCATTCACATTATTAATAACTCTTAGGCCAAATTTTGGAAGAGAAACATTCGTGTGTGTAACTACCAGAAATTGGCGAGTCAGTCTTCATGTTAATAGATAAATGATACATATAATCGAAAACTAGAATCATGAATAAAACAAAAATAATTTTATGATTTCGTCATCTGATGTTCAACTAATCATTAAAACATTGTTATAATACTTTCTATGGTTTATAATACATTAACATTTTCAGTCTGACTGACCTTTTGCTAAACATTTTAGTTTTAATTTTTCAAGAAACTAAACGATCGAGTTGATGGTCGTTCCCCTGTTCATTTTATTTTAATTTTCTCTCTTGTCTAGACAGTTAAATAAACAGACTGACATGATATGGAACTAGAAGTATTATGAACTCTGAAAATTATCATACCCGTGGAGCTTGTTCTAACCTCTTACCATTTAAGGTGCAGCTTTAGGCGATTTGTTACGTTGTTGTGCAATAGACGGATGGACCTGCTTATGGCCTTAACAAAGTGCTTGTTATCTGTGTTAGGAAGAGCTTAGAGCGATATATTAAAAAAATCTAATATATACTATCAGTGGAATTTAATATGTAGCTAAATGTGATGTTTGCAGGAGTGATACGACCAGAAGCTACTGATCATAAAACTAAACACATCTCAAGAACCTCCTAATGGCTTAGCAGTAAGTCTGAAGGCTTATAACGCTGAAAACTGGGTTTCGATTCTCGTGGTGGGCACAGCACAGCTAGCCCACTATCTAGCTCTGTAATAGACAACTTCCAACCAACTTATCTAAAAAAATATAGAATTTTCATATATATATATATATATATACATAGTTGTTGCCAAGAGTCGTCAGCTCTAGATCAAGATCATGATAGATCACTGGCAGTCCGTTAAGTTTCGAAAAATAGAAGTAAGAAAAATTAAAACAGAGTTATTATAATAAATTAAATTATATTAAAAAAACAGCAAGGTTATGACCAGCAAGTTAATCAGTGTTTTATATTTTTTCGAAAACAGAAAGACTTGACTAACATGCAGTGCATGGTTAAGGCGATGGAATCAAAATTTAGTGGGATTTTCAGATCTCATTACTGGTAAAATGTTTAGGAAGTTTGTGATACAGTTAAAACGAAAATAAAGACTATTTGTAAAAATATAACATGTCACCGACACCTAAGTAATAAAGGTACAATAAGACAGTTTTAACACAAGCCTGACAGGACACGTTATTTTGCAAAATGCGTTCGAATCAGAAATAAGAGAGAAAATAATCAAAACACAACTCCTTAGAGAAAATAAAAACACAAATATTTATTTTCTTCGAATAGTTGCTTTATAATTCCGTTATCACAGTGTCATGGTATAAAAGACTGTTTAGTGTAGATGTTATTAATTAATTACTTTTTTAAGTGAATATTTTATGATTGTTTAGTTTTGTTCATAACATAAGAGTTAGAAGCAATTATTTTAAATGAATGTTATGAGTTTAGTTACGTAAATTGGTAAGAGTCGTACGTTATGTTTATAACTCATTGATGTCGAGATTATAGAACCTCGCGTGAAATTTATTGATGCCGAGGATATAGTGAGTAGACGATTAAGTAATAATGATATAAATAGTGTGAGATGAGCGGGAAAGTAGACAGACAGAGTAGACGAGAAAGTAAAGTCACGGGAAGTAGAAGTTCGGCCAAGGAAAGTTAAACGTAAAGTTAACTGCAGTAGGAGTGAAAGGCCTAATGATTAATATGTTAGAGGAAAACTAAAAATTTTAAAACAGACAGGAAGTATAGTTTATTTCATCAAAGCGAGTTCTAAAAGTAGCTGAATCAGCCTGAGTGCATTTCGACCAATGGAACAGACGATTACTGGAAAAGTATACGACTGTGGTAACTCACGCTATAATTGTAAGTGAATTATATACGAAATACTAGTGTGATATAAATAGGGAAAAGTAGTTCGGCTTTTCAACTGAAATTCTAAAGCAATTGAATAGGCCTAAGTGGACTTTTGACAAGAAGAAGAGAACTGTACATAGTGTTTATTATATGCCTATAATCTCTATAGTGTAAAGACTTTGTTGTACATACGTTTAACTAGTTCGAATATATATATTATTTTGAAAACAAGTGGAGTGCGTGCTGTTCTTTTATCATTGAATTTATCACCAACAAGTCATAGACACCTGCTGTAAAAAAAATCCTTATCCCAAAACACCCATATATTTAACGTACATTACTATACATTTCTACTAAAAAGTAAGTTTCCTGACACACAGAAGTAATCGTATAATTGTTTCACTTATTTATACACAAAATGCGTATGACAATTTGTAGACACTGAAAGCCAGCATTCACCATAAGAGAAGATACAAACACCACTGTATATGATTGAAAGAGTTATTAACAACTTTATTTTTCTTATCTACACTTGGCTGTTATAGTAAACCAGCAACAATATCTTGGGATTTTAACTCCGTTTTAACATTATCGGTTTCTACCTAATCGAATTTAACACATTACAATTACTG